TAAGAGATAAGAGTATCCATTTGAATCTGGTAAAGGTCCTACCAAATCCAGATGAACATGGTCGAAACGAGCATCGGGAGTTTTAAACGAGCCTAAGGGACATTTATTGTGTCTGATAACCTTAGATTTTTGGCAGCTTACACAGGAGCGTGCCCACTCCCTCACGTCTTTATTCATTCCAGGCCAGCAAAACCTTTCTGCTATAAGCTTGATGGTTGCACGAACACCTGGATGCGAAAGTTTGTGCAATGTGTTGAAGACATTGCGTCGATAATGTTTCGGCACGATTGGGCGATCCCTACCTGTAGATGTGTCACAAAGTAAGGTTTCCTTACCTGTTCCCATCTGTTTGATGCGTAGTTTAAGTGTTGTGGACGATAACTCGTGCTGAAGATCAGTGTCTTCTTTTTGAAGCTCGGCGAGTTTAAGAAGGTCGATTCCTTGGAAACTGTTCAAGGAAGTTATACGAGATAAAGCGTCTGCAACTACATTGTTTGCTCCAGAGATGTGTTGAATATCTGAAGTAAACTGCGAAATGTAGTCCAGTTGTCGAGACTCACGGGGAGAGTACTTGTCAGAAGGAGAGCTTAACGAGAAAGTGAGCGGTTTATGGTCCGTGAAAAGAGTGAATTCACGACCTTCGATGTAGTGTTGAAATGCCGTACAGCACAATACATAGCTAGGAGTTCCCTACCGAATGTGCTGTACCTCGATTCGGTGTCTAGCAACCGTCTAGAGAAAAATGCCAAGGGTTGCCAGGAGTTGTTAACCCATTGTTGTAAGACTCCTCCGATTGCCGAGTCGGATGCGTCTACTGCGATGCTAATGGGTGCTCGGGTGTCCTGATGTGCGAGCATTGTTGCTTTAGCAATCAGTTCCTTAACTGTGGAGAATGCTTTTCGTGCGGTGTCGTCCAAATTAATGGATTTCGCATTTCCACGAAGTTGGTCGGTTAGAGGTTTCATGAGTAATGCGCATTTCGGTATGAAACGTCTATAGAAACTTACCAGGCCGTTAAACGTGCGTAATTGCTTGACGGTGGTCGGTTCTGGGTAATCCAGAATGGCCGCCACTTTGGTCCTAAGAGGTCGAATGCCTTGAGCATCGATAGTGTGTCCTAGGAAGTCTAACGAGTCGGTTCCGAATTGGCATTTCTGAACGTTTACAGTTATGCCATGTTTTTGAAGTCGTTCGAAAACAAGATCCAGATGCTTGAGATGTGTTTCTCTGTCCGGACTTGCGATTAGACAGTCGTCAACATACGCGTGTACGAAGTTGAGACCTCGAAAAACGTCGTCTATGAATCTTTGGAATGTTTGAGCAGCATTCCTTAGACCGAAAGGCATACGCAAAAATTCATAGAGTCCGAAAGGAGTTATGATAGCTGTTTTCGGTATGTCGTCAGTAGCCATAGGGATTTGGTTATACGCTTTGACCAAGTCGATTTTCGAAAAGACAGTTGTACCTTTCAAGGTAGCTGTCAAATCGTGAATGTGAGGCAACGGGTAACGATCGGGAATGGTTTTCGCGTTCAATCGCCGATAGTCACCAGTTGGACGCCAATCGTTGCTGTCCTTTTTAGGGACCATGTGCAACGGAGATGCATATGGGCTACTTGACGGTCGTATGATTCCTAAGTCCATCATGTGATCGAATTCGTTTTTCGCTAACCTTAGCTTTTCAGGAGCTAGTCGGCGTGCTTTAGAAAATACAGGTGGTCCTGTAGTCGTGATGTGATGTGTAACATTGCTGGTTACACACGGTAGTTTCGTTTGAGTTTGTTGTATCTCAGGGTACTTATCGAGTAGTGGTTGATAGAGTGGGTCTATCATATGTTTAACTGTGACTGGGGATACTCTACAACCAGTAAAAGAAGTTACGCAAACGGACAAATTAGTGTTACCGTCTACTAGCTTCCGTTTGCGCGTGTCGATGATCAGATTGTGGTGTTGTAGAAGATCCATACCAATGATTGGCATAGAAACATCTGCAACAACGAAAATCCAGTGGATGGGTTGGCGTAAACCCACGTTAAGGTAAACGTACCTTTTGCCATACGTAGCGATCGGTTTTCCGTTTGCCGCCTGTAAGTTAAAAGCCGACTCCTGAAGCCGGTCGTTAGGATTTGCTGGGAGAACGCTAACTTCTGCGCCAGTGTCGACGAGGTAACGAACTCTCGTTGTCACATCTGTGACGAATAACAGACGGCTTTGTTCGCCGGCTACGGTTGCCGTTAACGCGTGCCGGCTTGGAAGTTTCCCGAATTGCTTTTCGAATCAGTCGGTTTCGTGTTGGGAAAATTGCAGGGTTTTCTGCAATTTCTGGAAAGCTTTCCATACTGGTTATGATACCAGCACCAGTCGGGGTTATCTGTCTCTCGTGGTCTAGAGACAGATCGCTTACGAGAAATGCTTCTACGTGGTGTGTGCGATCTCTTACGGTCGTTACGAAGACTAAGATAACGCGTGAGTGTGTGACATAAGTCGTTTATATCATTCTGAGTCGTTTGAGGTTTTTCTTTGACTGAAAATACCTCGGTAGTAGATTTCGTAATTTCTAATATGCGGTCGGCAGATGCAGCTAGCTCGTCTAAGGCGTTGTTCTGGAACGAGACCAGAACTGCTTGCACCTGTTGGGGAAGTTTTGACAAGAAGAGTTGTTTGAATAGGCCTTCGTCGAAAGTTCTTGGGCCTATAACCTCTCTCATCCGTTGCAACATGTCTGTCGCAGAACCGTGTTGCAGGTCGATATTGTTGAAGAGTTGATCTAACCTTTGTCGATCGGTTAGGTCTCCTCGTTTAAGAATCGAGCGTTTTAAGATTTCGTAAGGATCGGAAACATCACTAGTAAACATACTAGGTGTTACGTACCTGTTGAATTCGCGCGGTAGTGCCTTGACTACTGCGAGGAATTGTGCACGTGTGTCGATCACGCCGTGCTGGGAGAAGTCGGCTTCTGCGTAGCAAAACCAGGCTTCGATGTTGTCGGGCCAGAAAGGCATGAGTTGAAACGAAGGCGGGGACAAAGTCTTAAGCTTGAGTACTTTAGGTGTCTGTTCAGTCATGATGAAGTATGAAGTACGATAATGAACAAGGGGAAAATATATATATCCAGGAAAAAAAAAAAAAAAAAAATCACAATGTTTAAAAAAGTTTAAAAAAATAAGGCAATGATATATAAAAATCCCAAAAAGGAACAGACTCACAGTTGCAATTAGGTGTACCAGATCACGTCGGTTTCACCAATGATTATGTCACAGGTATTCAGTGTTTGACAACGCTTCTACCAGTAACACCTTCTAATATATTTCGTTCCCGCCCAGAGAAATCAAAAGACAGAGTCGAGGAGATCGGAAGAGTATATTTGGCGATGACCAATATATCGGAATTCTCTGATCTAATCTGGCTAGCGATTGCGGTTGATGTTGAGCACGGCGTTACCACACGTGATCTGGTGCGGATGACTGACCGAGCGCCTTCAGCTAGGTGAGTCCACTAAAACATATGGTCAGCATCCAATGTCGAAAACTTAGTACTATTTATTTTGGGGATTTATTTACCGCTACAAGGTCATTCCAATTCTTTGCTTTCTATTATCTTTCATACTATTTCTTCCCTCAATCTTAAATTATAATGCATATTCAGTTGTATGCAACTTATGAGAAACCACGAAATGTAATGCAGTCACATGATTCTGCGTCAATATTTGTTTTGGCTTTATTTAGACCATAATTATACAAACTTACAGGATTTATAATATAAAACACTGCGTATGGTTGTTATATTTATATTTAAATAATTCATTAGATGAATGAACATAGCAGTAGGTAATATAAAACAGTTATCGTAAACTTGTAAACCGGTTTTCCACACGATCTTCCGTAATCCTAAATTCCATAAGCTTCATACTATTCTGAAAAACAACAAATCCGTTTTGAGACAAACAATTAAACTTTGTTCTCAGTATCATATTCAATAAGTTATTCAAATAGCAAGTAACAGACTGTGCCTATAAGTCTTTTATTAACAAGTAGTGACATTCATTCATAACTTCCTAAGTAACACAACAACTGTATTACCGAGACGGAGTGAAGAGTATATAATAACTCATTTGTGAACCCTATAACAGACACCTCACAAATCAGTATTAACTAAAAAACATGGTTGTGTCACCATTCTCACAAGAAACACCGATCGTTTTATTCATGAAGATTTTGTTCCTACTTGATGTGGTGTTATACACTATTACTGCAGACGTTCAGAAAGCCGCTGGACAACACTATAAACGTCAATTGTTACTCACATATTTCTTTTCTCAGATACGTTACATAATTATGTCACTTCAGTACAAAACAATGGTACCTCTAATAAATATAACTTTTTATGGCTAAATACAAGCAAGTTAAATAATAATCACAATTAGGTTAACGCTTGATTGCTTCTACTTACATTTTATAAACAACTACCGACATCCATGTTCACCGTCACCGCAATCAAGGAGGTGAACCATATGTAAAAGATTTTACGGTTCATTTTCATGAAAACTCAATCTGTGGTGTATTTTTTGACTAGAAAAACGGTGAACTTTGCTTGCTTGAGTTTGTATTGTTACAAATAACTATATTAAGCTAACTTCAGATTTACTTACGTGGTGAGCAAGAAATACGTCAAACTGCCAATAAATTGGAATAAAAACTATGTTACAAGCACTAGCAATACAGAAATTGATGTGTCATGCAAAAAAGCCTGTTAATAGCTGATAAATAACGACACAAAAAATCCACGACAATATGTAACGTGTGCGCGAAAATCCGTGGCTTACCCGCCAGTCCGTGCCTCGTTCAAAGTGGTAGTCTGTTTGACTACGCGGCTTTTCAATACTTTATTTATACTCACAGTTTTAAATTCACTTTTTGTACCGTACAAAGTTAAGGGTTATTCCACTTAAAATTTTCAAAACAAAATAGATGCATATGTCGTCCTTGTGATCTGTACATATGAATGGTGGAGTCTTTAAAAAGTAAAATTGATGAGGTGGAACTCTTATTGTCCATGTTCTCTGAAGATGAAATTAAGCTAGGAGACAAGAAAAGCTATTTAAATATCAAACGTCATGCAGAATTGAATGTTATTCCTGAAAAGACAGATGTCGATTTCGTAATCAAGGTAAGCTCTGGACTACTTAGTTCACAACCCTAACGAAAATCTCATTGTAAACTCGCACAAAATTCGTATTTTATGATTGTTTATCAAAATCTTCGAAATACGTATTTCGAAGCAAACGTACGTTTTAACCGTAACTAAAATTTTTGCTCAGTTCCTAAATTATTATGAATTTAATACTTATTGATACAAACATTCAAATATTTTCATAGCTGCTTCTCAGATTTAAACCTCATTACACCTACTTTTGTCATAAACATAATGGGTTGGTGTCTGACGAAATCTCAGCATGGATTCGAAAAGCTCGTTTGGTTTCTGCCAACTTACGTCACCTATTGCGAAGGCAAGATATTCGTATATCAATTAAGAGACAAGTATATTGTGCGGAAGTTCATTCTGTTCTACTTTACGGCTGCGAAACATAACTATTAGAAGTACAAAATACTCGTATTCTACTAGTAGTTGATCACAGATGTCTTAGAAATATTGCTCACATCTGCTGGGATCACCGGGTAAGTAATGGTGTGGTTAGACACTGGGTATTAGGGAATGATGGTAAATCAGTTGATGAGGTTGTGAATCTTCATCGACTGAGATGGTTGGGTCACGTGTTACGTATGCCTGAACACCGATTACCACGATGCACAATGCTAACTAGTGTTGGGGATGGTTGGAAGAAAGTTAGGGGCAGCCAAACCAAAACGTGGCATCAGTGCTTGAAGTCATTAACTTCTAGTCTGAGCCATGTTGGTAGATGCAGACTACTTGGTCGAGGTCCGCGTGAATATCGTAACCAATGGTTGGAGACTGTGTGTGACATGGCTCAGAATCGATCACAATGGCGTCGGTGTATACACTGTCTGTCTTCCCTTAAACTAAGAGATTGAATTCGCTTCGTATCTGTCTTTCTATGAACTAATTCTTTCTTCCTGTACTATGCCCTTATATGCAATCCTTGTTTTATGTATTGCCACCAGTGAATTAACTACTATGGATTCTATGTTCATCTTGTTGTGCTAAAGGGGTATGGCAACTTGGATCGATGCCATATATGTGCCTGGTCCTATGTTGTAGCTGACTGACTGACATATACTTCATATTCAAAGCATGACTCTTCTGTTTAAACTTGTATTATGCATTAGAATTTCATAAAGAAACAGTTCAGTTTAAAATCCGTTTATTTTACTGAACCTACTAATTTGAATAAAAGTTTATTTATTCACTTATTTGTTCCACACTCCCATCTATATCAGCTTAAAAAGAAAGTAGAATTATCAGTTGTCCTACCCGATGGTTACCCTTCATGGAATACACATCATCCTGTTAAGCCACTAATTACTCTACGTTTTTTATCCGATAATTCAATTCTTGGCATAAATATACGTGAGTTATCCTCACGTTTTTATCATTGGTTTGATAAAATCGCAAATACTGGTGAACCAATCTTACTAGCATGCATAGACTGGCTTCAAAATGAGTTATTTAATGAATTACTAGTAACTAATGAAAGTGTAACATCTCTCTCAACCAATTCAGTTTTGAGTAACAATGAGAAGATTGTTTGTTTATGGATTATTAGCCATCACATTCGAAGTCCAATAAAAAGACGTCTGATTTTGGAATGGTCAAAAGAATTAGAACTAACCGGCTGTTGTATGCCTGGGCGACCAGGCTTAGTAATTGTAGAGGGTGAAGAAACCAAGGTTAGTGATTCATTATGTCCTTCTTGTTGGATTATTTGTAAATACGTGTGTTAATTAGTAGAACGATTCTCTTCTATAGTATATTTATTTATTTACTTAAACATAAACATTGGTACAAGGAGGCACCGAATAGATACGTGCTACGAAAACCATTAGATTTATGTGAGAGCTGGGATGCTACCCTGGTGCTCAAACCCAAGAGGGTGGATTTCTTGGTGGTCCAAACCCCGAGCCTTTGACCTAAAGGTCCAATCCACAAGGCAGTGGAGCAACGTCAGGAGATGCAGTCCCATGGTGGCCGGTGACCAACAATTGGTTCATACGCCGTTTGTTTCCGTAGGATCCTGAAGCCCATGTACACATTGGTTTGGTTCCAGCGTTTTCCAACTCCCTTAGGTGGATCTTCCGTATCCACCGACCAGGTTAGAGCGCCGGACATTCGATTTCCGTCCTCTCGATTTCGCAAATAACACCTCTGTCGCGAGAAGGCAGTGAGTAGAACTTCTCTGTCAGTGGCTGTATCCACGTGGCTACTTGAGAGCATTTCTCCAATAGTGGACTGTCTCTGATGGTATCCGGTCAACGGACATTGAATATTTTGCACAGATAATTGTTTGTAAATACTTGTACCGTCTTGATGACAGTTGTAGTAGTTCTCCATGTCTCAGCTCCATGCAGTAGAACTGTCTTGACGTTCGTATTGAAGATTCTAATTTTGATAGTGGTTGGTAGTTGTTTTGAGTTCCATCTGTTCTTCGACTGTAGGAATGCTGGCTTTACTTTGCCAATCCTTACCTTTACGCCTGCATCGGATCCTCCTTGTTCATCGATGATGCTGGCCAGGTACGTGAAAGTTTCCACCTCTTCCAGAGTTTCTACATAAAGTGTGATTGGGTTGGTGGTCTCTGTGTTGCATTTGAAGATGTTGCTTTTTCCCTTGTGTACTTTGGAGCCTACTGCTGTAGAGGCATCTGTTAGACTGATTGTGTTGACCTGCATTTGCTGATGTTTATAGGATAGAGGGACTAGTTGGTCTGCGAATTCTGAATAATCTAGTTTCATGCAAGCTATCGATTGCGTCCCATGCTTCACCTGAGATGTGGAGGTTTCCATAATTCAGCCGACCACCAGAAGGAATAGAAAGGAGGAGAGTAAGGAGTTTTGTCTGACCCCGGTCCTCATGTAGTATCAGTTATTATGCCAAGCCCATATACCTTATTCTAGCTTCCGGACATCCCATTTTATTCATTCTACTCGAGCCATACTTTGACCTTGTTGTTTATTCGCTTATCAATCTAGACTGTTTTTATATGAGCGTGTATGTGTGTGCCCTTCTTATCCTATTAATCACATGTCTGTAGTTTTATTTTGTCTGACTATAAATATTGAGTAACGCTTGACTAAAATGGAGTTGGCTTCCCAGCCATCTTCCATACGTGTCATTTTGCTCTACTCTGTTTCATTTGCTTCATATTCGAAATATATGTATTCTCAAGTCAATCCTCGTTATTCGACTTATTTAATTTCGTTATTGGATAACGCGATTTAAGTCGACGATGATATACGAGAATCAGCGATAGCAAACATTTATACGATCTTGGAGTCAGATCCACGAGCCACCAAAGTGGTGATCCCTCCAACGAATATCGTCGATCTAGATGGGGACAAAATCAAACTACGGCCTCCACACTCACTTGGAATGAGTCTGTCGGCTGTCCTCCACCCATGACTTTGCAGTGTAGTCCTTCGTATGAATTCCGGATGATGTTGACGTTCCTTCTCGGGTACACTGTAATGTCGGAGAAGGTTCCGTAAGGTTCTCCTATCCACGTTGTCAAACGCTTTCTCATAGTGAAGGAAGTTGATGTGTGGTGGCGAATTCTATTTAATGAATTGTTCAACAATAATCCGTAGTGTGGCGATTTGGTCTATGCGCAACCGATGCTTCTAGAATCCAGTTTGTTGATTTCGAAGTTGAGCATCTACTGAATCTTTCATCTCGTTCAACAACACTGTTTGTAACCCCGGGATCTAAATCATAGATGATAACAGTTCATGATCAAGAGCTTGATCATAGTTTCTAATCCTATAACCTAAACCTAACCACTAACATGCACTTCCTGTCTGAACTCGTAATATTAAGCTTTTCTATCGTGTTGTGAGAATTCACATGAAAAGACTCATTATTTACGCCAAAATCCCTTATGTCTTATAATTTCATGACTAAACACTTTTCTAGTTGGATCAAAATAGTTGTCTGTGTTGTCCATATACTTTATCTCTGCCACTCACTGCTTTGACTATTAATCTATTGGATATGTCCTAAAAGCAAGATTTTGGTATATATATATATATATATATATATGCCCCCAAATGCCCTGGTATGGCCGAGAGTGGGGTGGGCCCTCCCTCCCTCTCGAAATGCTCGCACACAGCCACGCGTATACGGCCTCTGCCAGGGAAGTCCTACTCACTGCCTTCTCGTGGCGGGGGTGTTATTTACGAAAAGCGAATGTCCGGCGCTTTAACCGGATTCCAAACCAATAGTGCACATGGGCTCCAGTATCCCGTGGGAACTAATGGCGTATGAACCAATCGTTGGTCACCGGCTACCATGGGAATTCATCTCCTCACGATGCTCCACTGCCCTGTGGGTCAGACCTTTAGGTCAAAGGCTCGGGGTGTGGCCCCCTAAGAAAACCACTTGCTTCGGTTTGGGCACCCGGGCAGTATCACAGCCCTCTAACAGATCGAATGATTTATGTGGCTCATATCTACTTGGTGCCTCTTTGTGCCAATGTTTATGTGTTTAAATAATAATTATGTATATGCTTTTACAGCGATCAATCAAACATAGCAACGAAAATAAGTCATGTAAAAAGCAGTATGTTTTTATGAACTATTTAGTGTCAGAGTCCTCGTTATTCATATAGAAAAACAGAAATTATGTGTGCTGAAGGCACCTTTCCAACCTGTTTTATTACCATCGACTGAACATCGAAAGGTTTCTAATTATTTTGTTGATTTTAAAAAATTGCCATGCAATCTTTGCACTTACCATATTGTCAAACTCAAATTAATCTATTCGTGTTTCTATACACTTAAAACATTTCATTTTTAAAATTGATTGTACCGCATTACTCAATTCAATCCCGTAATTACTAGTCTCTATCTGATTACTATGAAATTACTGGTTAATTTTCAACTCAACTTTTAAATAGGAATTACAATTATATACATCTGTTCATTTGTATTGCTATGTTTTATCAGCGGTAATTATAAAAATACATGCATGCGACTATACATTCATGATAATAAAATCTCCAAAAAAGACTTCCTGCCTTAATTATGTTCGTATTTCATAATTCGATGAGTGTCCACTATGCGACATTATGTGAGCTTTCAATTTGGCGTAATCACCTGTCATTTACAATATATATACCAGGAAGGCTGGCATGTGAGAACACTTTGTGGTGCATATTAAAGAACATCTCGAGCATTCAGACGCTTTCCATAAGATTGGTAAGCAAAGTGCATGATATCAAATGCTGCTGTCTCAGACATCAGAAGTGGTCGCAGTGTTTCAAATTCTACCTCCGTTAACCTGCGCATCCAAGAATTACTGTCGTGCCTCCGGGAATTGCACTCGTGATTGTGATGCACATTCCCACGAACAACAGTCCAGTAACCTTCAATAAACTTATAAAAGATGAAGACCGGACATTGAGCGTACATGGAAGTCCTTCATGAAAAAATATGAGAACACTAATCAAATTACCTCCGTCTAATCGGTTGTGAGGAACCGCTATGTGTTCTACGGCCATTTCTCCAACATACAAATTTTATATACGGCTTCTGATCTCGATGGAAATGAGAATTTCTCACCGCATAATGGTAGTACATAGCTCTTTCATAAGTTCTGATGGCGCTCTTTAGGGCTTCAAGTGATTGAAACGCTACGAGATAAAATGTATTCAAGAATAGATTATCTGTTTCTGTGACAACGAGAGAAACGATCGAGCTTGTACTTTGTACGTTATTATCGCCCATAATTTGAAGAAAAGATGCTCCGTCGACAAGTATTGACATTTTATATCAATTTTAAGAAAAAAACAACCAATTATAACGAATTTAAAACTAACCATTTAATTGGACGAAACAGGATGAAAAAAATGGAAAATCGGATAATATAAAAATACAAAAATGACCGTGCGTTTAATGATTTTCTAGTGAATGTATAGGTCATTTTAAAACTTGGAATAGTTTTTACTTTGGTTCAAGTTACCATGTTTTCTTAAACGACATCAAGAAAATAACTTAGAAGATAAACAATATGAATCGTTGAAATGATATGAAAAAGAAAGGTATAAATATCACCTATTATTTGATATCATTTTACTTCAACTTCTAACTAAAAATATACCTTGTTTCTTTACTCAGAATTGTGTCTCATAAAACTGTCTTACTGCCTTGTGGACAAGATATTTTACTGAAAATCGGGGATTGATATTTTACAAAAATCACATACTTCTATATGGATACATGGATTTCATTATGTCTTTTTCTACTAACTGTTGTGACTTTTAACCTAGCTAATTATCACGTAACTTGTTCGCCAATCAGAATACGATTTATATAGTCTTAGCACTGTGCCAAACCAATGACGTATCGACCGGTATGAGTAGCCTAGCGTTTTTTATCGGTTATTTTCCTTCTAGCCTGCCAGTTGAGTCTAGAACACCCATACCAGCTTCCATTATACAAATCATTTATTTCAAACATGCCTGGCTTATATACAAGCCAAACAGACTGCATCACACCATAAAATAGGAAATAACATTTGTACAAGATCAACCCAAAACGTGGCTGTGATCGTGTGAGACTGTAATTCATAAAGTAGACATAACTTAAGAACAGTAAGTCGTATAATAATAGTTTATAAGTCAAAATAAAGCTTATAATAAAAGGAATATGAATATACATGATCTCGTTACTGAATAGTTATATATATATATATATATATATATATATATATATATATATATATATATATATAATCAATCGTTTTATAGATAAATTCGCCTGAATTCCTAAAAATTTAATTTAATATCATTTTATGGCCTATAACTTATTCTTTCTTTTTATTTTTCTAATTTTAATCTTTGAATTATTCAGTAGATCATCTCCGTTGAAAGTTCCGTAGAAGGACTTGACACACATGACATTGATCACTACCCAGTGATCAGTCAATCGTGATAACATCTCAGTCCCACATGAGGTCGGTCACGGCCCGGATAGCCTAGTGGTACCGTCTCTGACTGTGAAGCTGGGTGACACAGGATCGAATCCGTCAGGAAGCACCAGTTCCCTCAAGATTACAGATACACCTTGCTGACGAGTGCCAAGTAGCACGAAATGCGGGTCCAGGTTTTCCTGTTGACTACCTCCAGCACCATCTAATCTCAACATAGTGCACGCAATGTCGAGTCACCTAGACTAGTAGCCACATTGTAACTTGATCGATAGCATTCGATCTGCACTAGGAAGGACTTGACACACATACCATTGATCACCACCCAGTGGTCAATCAATTGTGAATGTTCTGTAGTATTTGAACAGTTAATTTTTTTAAAGATTATTGTCATTCACTGTGTCATTTATTATGATATAGGTCGTTTCTTGATATATTTGGTACGGCTAAATATTTTGTGAGTCAAAAATAATTAAAGTACTAATTATTTCGAACTATCAACTGATCTATTGCGTTTGAATGTATAGTATTTATGAAGAAAATTATCTTTTCATCTAAAGAGCTTACAGTCTTTTTTTTTCATATAATGTAAACTAATATTTAAGTGATATTGTTTTATATATTTATTATATATAACTTTATTAGGCGGATGAATATTGGAGAAGACTACGAAATTTACAATGGAAACATATACAACTTCGAGAAAAAGAAATACTTGGTATAGGTTTATATAGAATTCGTCGTTTTCAAGATGGATTTCATGAACTTACATTATCTCAACAAAGTTGGTTTTCATGGCTTCATAAACATGGTGTTACATCAGAAGAGTATAGACATGTTTTTGGAATTCCTGGTCGATTGCCTCAAAATGAACAACAATAGTAATGGATCAGGAATTGGTGATAAAATCATTTGGAATTCAGTCAATAGGTTGTAGGTTCGAACAAGGCCCCACCCATTTCAAATTCAAGATTCCATTAGTACACAAATAATGCGACTCAAATCCAACTACACAAACTTGTAGTTGGTCAATGAACTAGAAGTAAATAGAACGTATAACCTGGTCAGTCAGTTGAATTTGTTACCTGAAAATAACGGAACAAACATTTGTATTGTATAGCGACTTGCATATAGCCTTCAATATTTACAAAACATAAAATGTTAATGTAATAATACTATTTTTGATATATAAGCTGCCCTTTCAACTTGTAACTTACTGATGATCTATTCATTTTGTACTACTGGTGCACAGGATCAAATGAAATGTAGTCAATTAGTTAAGCCTTTCGTACCATGCGAACTTTACCTTTGACTGAATTCTGTCATCAGTGTAGGGTTGTGGAGATTGTTGTGCTTTTATTGAGATCATGAATCGATCAATGTCAGATTGCCATTAAAAACCTGAAAGCACTGGATGGCCGTCTCGTCCTAGCATGAGGCTTCTCAGCAATGCATAACTTCAGTCAATCCACGATATTGCACGACTGTATTCGATTGTCTTTAGTGGATAACTGCCTCACACCCGACAGAGTTAAGCTCCCAGAGTTACCTATCGAAGCTAGTCACTAATGGGCACATAATAATTATCAGTATAAGGTTGTGGAGGTTGTTGAGTTTTAGCCGAGATCATGAAATGGATTCTACAAGTCATATTAGTAATGATTTCACTATCTCAAGTAATTTGGGATAGTGTTTGTTAATGCAGTTTCACTATCTAAAAGTGAGTTGATAAGCATGTAAACTGTCATTAGTTTTATGTCGTTTCTCATCCAGTCAACTTAATATCCGACATTCTGTACCGTAAAGTCGAGTTGTACGGGAAAACTCAACGTGGTTTGATATACAGTAAAAGAGAACTAGATGATTAGAACATGACTTTGACATAGTTTTCGCCTGGCAAAGTAAAAGCGTTTGACGACGTACTTCGTGCTTTTGCACACTTGGAAATAATCCCTTAACTATATCTCAGCTTTTATTTTCTAGTAAATGCTTTTTTCAGAAATAACAAATAATATCGTTTCCATATGGCATAGATGTTACTCATACTTACTTACTTAGGCCTGTAACCCCACCAGGATTCTCCATCTAAATCTGTCCTAACAATCCTTTCCAATTGTTCCCAGTTGCTATTCACTTTTTTTATGTCTGCTTCCAATTCTTGGCGCAGTGTGTTCTTTGGCCGTCCTCTTTTCCATTTCCTTTCAGGATTCCAAGTTGGCGATTGCCTCGTGATAAGTTTGGTGATTTCCGTAATATGTGTCCTATCCACCTCCATCGTCTTTCCCCTATTTCCTCTTCAGCTGATCTGTTCTCTCATATAGTAGACTGTCTCTGATGGTATCCGGTCAACGGACACTGAGTATTTTGCACTGATAATTGTTTATAGATACTTGTACCGTCTTGATGACAGTTGTAGTAGTTCTCCATGTTTCAGCTCCATGCAGTAGAACTGTCTTGACGTTCGTATTGAAGATTCTAATTTTGATAGTGGTTGGTAGTTGTTTTGAGTTCCATCTGTTCTTCGACTGTAGGAATGCTGGCTTTACTTTGCCAATCCTTACCTTTACGCCTGCATCGGATCCTCCTTGTTCATCGATGATGCTGGCCAGGTACGTGAAAGTTTCCACCTCTTCCAGAGTTTCTACATAAAGTGTGATTGGGTTGGTGGTCTCTGTGTTGCATTTGAAGATGTTGCTTTTTCCCTTGTGTACTTTGGAGCCTACTGCTGTAGAGGCATCTGTTAGACTGATTGTGTTGACCTGCATTTGCTGATGTTTATAGGATAGAGGGACTAGTTGGTCTGCGAAGTCCGAATAATCTAGTTTCATGCAAGCTATCGATTGCGTCCCATGCTTCACCTGAGATGTGGAGGTTTCCATAATTCAGCCGACCACCAGAAGGAATAGAAAGGAGGAGAGTAAGGAGTTTTGTTTGACCCCGGTCCTCACTTGGAATGAGTCTGTCGGCTGTCCTCCATCCATGACTCTGCAGTGTAGTCCTTCGTATGAATTCTGGATGATGTTGACGTTCCTTCTCGGGTACACTGTAATGTCGGAGAAGGTTCCGTAAGGTTGTCCTATCCACGTTGTCAAACGCTTTCTCATAGTGAAGGAAGTTGATGTGTGGTGGTGAATTCCATTTAATGAATTGTTCAACAATAATCCGTAGTGTCGCGATTTGATCTATGCGCAACTGATGCTTCTAAAATCCAGTTTGTTGATTTCGAAGTTGAGCACCTACTGAATCCTTCACCCGGTTCAGCAACATTGTCGAAAACGTTTCCTGGTACCGATGGTAGTGTTTTGTCTCTTTGGTTCTCACACTTACTGAGATCTTTCTTTGGTATATTGATGAGATATCCTTCTTTCAGTCCATCGGCAATTGTTTCTCTTTCAAAATCTTCTTGATTAGAACGTGGAACATGTCTGTTGTTGCTCCTATGTCTTTTTTCATTACGTCGGCTGGTATATTTTCGGGTTTTGCTGCTGTACCTCTCTTGAATTGTTTGATAGCCACGTTGATTTATTGGTGCAGTGACTACTGTAGGAAGGTCTGTGCGTGCTGCATCGACTTCCGGTAGGTTTAATGGAGCTGGCCTATTCAAGAGTCCGTCAAATTGTTCTACTCATATGTTCTTGAGTCTCAGTGATTGGGTTCCCTCTTCGTCTTTGATTAGTCGCTCTGATTTACTATATTTCTCTGATAGTCTTTTCGCTATATTGTATGGTTGTCTCATATTTCTTTCTGTTGGAGCTGTCTCCGCTGTCATTAGTACGTCTTACACGTATTTCTGCTTGTCGTCTCTAATGCTCCTCTTTACTTGCTTGTTTGCTTCTGTGTATCCAGCTTGTGCCTTGACTTTCTCTGTTATTGTTCGGCCGTTGTTTATTGCTGTCTTCCTGTTCTTCCTTTATTGAGTCTTGTGCAGGGTTTCCATAGATGATGATGCTTCTTGCTGCCCAGAACCTCCTGACACGTTGGAGTTAGTGCTTCATTGATCGTTTTCCAGTTGTCCTCTACAGTAGTTTCCTTTTGAAGTAGATCTTGTGAAACGTGGAATCTGTTTCTGAGAGCTATCCTGAATTCGTTGAGCTTGTCAGTATCTCGAAGGAAGGCTGTATTGAACCTTTGTACTGCTGTCTGTCTAGTTGTCTAGTGCTTCTCCAGCCTCAGATCAGTCTTGGCAACCACCAGGTGGTGATATGAAGATAGTCAGCTCTTCACCTGGTTCTCAGTTCTTCAATTGACTTTCTGAACATTTTATTGGTACAAATATGATATATCTTGTTCTTGGTGGTGTGGTCCGGTGAGATCCATTTAGCTTTGTGTGGGAATATTATGCCGCCTATAACCATTTTGTTGAATGCACATAGATTTGCAAACCTGTCATAATTCAAGTTCCTTTCTCCCAATCAGTCCATGTCGTCAAATAATAACTTCATACCCGTTGTTGTCCATTCCGACTTTGGCGTTTAAGTCTCCCAAAAGGATTGTCAGGTCTTTTTCTGAACAATTCTCTATGGTCGATTGCATCCTCACATAAAACTGATCTTCATCATCATCGTTGCTATCATTACCGAGTGTATAGTACTGAATAACAATGATTGTGATTCCCTCCTTCATTGTCTTGAAAGGTGCTTTGATGATTCTAGATCCATGATATTTCCATTCTATAAGTGCATTACATGCTTATTTGGACAACATCATAGCAACTCTCTGAGTGTGTGGAGCATTTTTTCTTCGTGACAGCAGCATATCTCCCGTATCTAACTTTCACTGTCCAGATTGGACCCAATGGGTTACGAGGACCGCCGAGTTGTATCTCCTCATTTCCGTTGCTATTTAACTGGTCATTCCGGTCTTCCACATTGTTCGGACGTTCCACGTACCTATAATAATTGTTGCTCTTGTTGTTAGAAGGGGTATCAGCGTCGTGAATTCCGAATTTCGGCTTTCACCATGTGGCGGAGGGCAGAGTTTACATTGGTTATTTTGGTTCGCGTTTTGTTTTAGCAAGATTGTTTTCTATGAGATGGGGTTACTGGCTCCATGCCAAACCATCCTCCTTTACACGAACTCGGGACCGTCAGTAACCCTAGAAGAACTACAAGTGGAGTTAGATGTTACTGATACACAGGTGTTATACTAGATTTCATATGAAATATATCGGGTTGGATGTTTTAGCTATGGGACTTAGGTAGTAGAATAGCTTTGCAGCTAGGGCGGACGTTTTTGAGCTGAGTGGTTTAATAGTTAAGGCTTCAAGGTGATAAATTTTTCCCAGTGATTGACTTACTAATAAATCTGACACTATAAGAAAGTATGACTGAAGTTGAGTAGTACAAAATGGCCATGCTCTAATTTAATTTCTAAATGATATCGGAATGTTGTTGCCCAAGGAAAGAATGTCTAACAGTTCAACACTCTTTGGTCTACAATATTAAGGACCACGCTTTGACTGCGGTTTCTCCATAAAACATTGCGCAATCTGCAGTTTCATATGAATTTTCTTTGGTCCGTGACTTTTTGTACTTTGTATTTCAGATATTTGCATTACTGATTTCACACGTACTCGTGAATTCATAAATCGAAACGTACGTATAAGTGCGGAAAATTTTTCAAGGAATTGGGCTTCTAATGAGTAGATTAAAGGTACGAACCTCGCTGTATATTCATCTGTTTTTGCAAGTTTGAAACGACACTGACCAAAAAATGTACCTGGGCGAATATTCGGGGTTGGGGTATTTATCAAATGGCAGAAATACATTTGGGTGTTAGTAACTAAATAAGGGTCGCCTCTAACAATCCAAAATTCTACTTATTACAGCTGTGTGCTTGGTCCAGTATGCTTAGTGCAAAGTGCGGTTTTTCTTTCTTAAGGT